ACCTCAAATAAGCTCAGAGTAGCTTGACGTACATGGATGAGTGGAGGAAGGATGGTCCAGAAAGAGGTGTGTTGGAACTGAAACCTCAAGGAAGGGAGTTTATTTTGTCCCTCAACCTCAAAGTAACAGTGCGTAGGAAACGCCTTGAAAACTGGATAGCAATTCTGGGTCATTTTTTGGCTTAAAAATAAAAACCTGGCTACCTAAGTCATCGACAATTGCCCAGGACGCCACAATGAGTGTATCGTGACTGTGATTGCTATTACAGTGAATGCTGATGTATAGGTACCGATCAAGAATAATAAACGACCTAGTGTTACTAAAGAAAGTTCAGTTCACCAAACGGTAGCTAAAAAATTCAAGGCTTATCGTAGTGATATAGGTCCGTTATCCTTCATGGAGTCATTGATTTTGAGCATGACATAGAACTGATAAAAAAGCTACTAAACCAGTTAATGCCTCAGGACATCTCTGGAGTTACCTTGTAAAATGTCTATAGACTAGGTAGCCAAATGGACCTGGAACAGAATCAAATCAGGCTGCTCAAAGTGAAATTTAAGTAAATGAAAGTGACAAAACTACAGAATCGATATAAACTAACAAGATCAGGAGTTTTTGTCCGCACAGAATTTTCGCTCGTGGACCGTATGTAAAGGCGAGAAATCGAAAATAGTAGAGCCAAGTCAAGATAATCACGAGAAGGGCCTTAGGACTGAAAGTTTACGGGTGGTGATGCCGAGGCCACTTGGGGTGCAGCGCTAATCAATTTAAATGTTCTTCGGATCTTCTACGAATCTTTATCACATTTCATAATAACCCATTATGAAGATGATGTCGTAATCCTCTATTATACGCCACCCCTAGGTAAAGTGGCCATACAGTTCTAATCTGTGGTTTCCATGTAGTTGTCGATAATGAGGATGTGTCAGTTCAAGTAAGACTGAACGTCTGGAAAGCAAATATTCAAGATATTAAACATTCCGCTTCCTTAGTAGATTGGTCAATAGAACCAGAATCCGTCGTTGAAACGGCTACACCAAGGGCTCCAACAAACTCCCTACCGTGATTCAGTAAAAAGGTTAGCACCCTTCTATGTAAGAGGCGAAGAATGTGGGAGAGATTTGGGTTACTGGGTACTGACGAAACGAAATTTTAATAGCGGAAAATTCGAAATATTTGTACATCGACCCTCTACCAATCCAGAAGGTTGTGAGAAGTAAAACATATCAAGATATCTTCCAGAAGACCAAGGGAAGATGAAACATTCCAGTATTATGGAAGGACAGTAGTAGTACATCATCAGTAGAGGGAGATCATAGTAAAGCTCAGGTGTTCTAAAATTACTTTGGCAATGTATATACCGCAGAAATGCACTATCCTTCAGTTCATAAGAGCCTCCTCTCATACACACATACTGGACACTGTGTGTCTTAAATGAGTTTGATAGAGGCGAAGCTATGGATTACTATGGGAATTAGCAAATTGTGTTGTGAACCTCTTAAGCATATGTCTTAATCTGTCCGTAACCCAGGATCGATTACCAAAAGACTAGAAAAGTGTTATAGTAAATCATGTCTTCGAAACATATACGAGACATAAACCTGAGAGCTATTGACTCGTAAACCTAACCAGTGTCGTTTATTAAAATTTTAACAAAGATTATTCACAAGGAGTTGTTTATGTATCTCAACGAAATCTTTCTTTCTGAAAATCCGCATGACTTTAGAACCGGTGATTTATATCTCACCTATATATGTCATCAACATCGAATTCATCAGGGCTTTCGACAAAGTTTCTCGCAACCAGCCGTTATATAAATTAAAAAATTTGTTAATGTGAATAAAAGACTTTGGGTAGTCTTAAACTCAACGTCCTCCCGTAAACCTAATATATCGCTAACTAGAATAACAGTCATGTTCACGTTGATGTGGCTATTTAATTTGTCATATTATGAATATTTTTTTATTAAAAAATCTAGTGTGTGCTGTGAATTTTGCTGTGGCTGTGACTTTTATTTGCCATCTCTTACTGCGTTACGCGGACATAAATTGCATATTGGAATAATGTTTTAAGTTATAGATAGTATAATCACATCGTTGCTTTTTAGGTAGACCTCCAATGAATAATGTTGTGGTGTGTGCTACTTATGTGGACATAAGTAGTATATGACGTGAGTCGTGAACAGAATATCTGGCAGCAGAGAGACGAGAAGATCGAACAATAAAGAATGAAGAAAGAATGAAATTTGTATGAAAATGCAAGAACAAAGTAATTCTGAGTCATTTGAGACAATTGATGAACATTTTGCAAAATGAGCATTTAATATATGGCTGGTAGATTTTACTGAATGGTTCTGTAATTTGTTGTTAAATTCATTCGATTGTTCCCCACCGGTGTTTTGTTCACTACAATGTTACTGGAGAAAGACTTATCGTGCTATAAACTACTGTAACCTGTTGTCTTCAGTCTCAAAACAATATCTTTTGTCCTTGTCAAGTAAGTCATACTGACCTATAGTTCACGTTCTAAGTTTATGGGCTTAATTAACTACATTCAACTACTTTGAGTAACATGTTTGTGCAAATGAAACAATAAATATGACACGTGCTTAATTTAGTATTCTTAGTTATCGTGTAACTAACCTCGCAAGATACAATTTTACTATACTTAAGTGTAGTGTTTGAAGCGTATAATGAACCAGATCAGTTTAGTAGATAGAGTTACTCACTCATTTCCGTCAGAATGCCTAAGCGTAACAACCAGAAAGCGATAAGTGTGAAATTATGTATGCATTACGGCGTACATAGCTCCAGGAAGATGAAGTTGTGAGCTTAGACTATGCAAAACAGGAAGAATCACGAGGACGTTATACTGATGTATCATATTTATCATTTATTTATGCATCACATTTAAGACTGCTGCTACTCGCGTATAAGCCTGCTTTTAATGAGTATACAGATTCTAATCAATTTGCATGCAAACAGGAAGAAAAGTACCATGGATGCTGTTTTTGCAATGTATTATAAGATAGTGTTCATTAAGTGCACTTAATAACCAGAACCCAATGACGGTTATGAACCTGTTTGAGGAATTATAATTATAATTTACATTTGATCGTTAAACTTACGGACTAATCTTGAGTTTTCTTCATAAACTGACATCAGCTTTAATACCTAATGGATGAGTGAATTTCGCGCCAAAATCCGAAACCTGTTATCTTATACGTGATTGGTTCGTCCATAATTTATATTCTCATCCACATTTTCGTTATTTTCTTGGAAAACCTACACTCCGGGACTTCTTAGAACATATTCCAGCCACCATCACTAGTCAGGGTATTCGGTGGATGAACACGCGTCTAATTACATAAATGTTTGATGGGATGCCCTATGATATGCAAACAGTGCCTTTACTAGACTTACGGAGCACTAGTAAAATGAGAGAACCGAGTATAGTATCGCACATGGGTTTACGCGCTCCTTTAGGTTTCCGGTGAAAATACGACTACAGTCCTATCAAATATGTCATGACCCCCCAACACCTATCGCCATCATAGCAAATAAGTCTAAATTCACTGAATACAGCGCTTATATTTTTCGAACGTAGGACTTGTAGAAGTAATTCGTGCTCAGAATTCTATGTTGTACCAAAATATAATATTAAAAAATCCTATTAATAATAATATAAGTAAAAAATGAGCGTACAACGGCAATATACAGCTGATGCACATGGTACGAATTATCTTATGGTGGTGTAATTTTGACAACAAATTTTCTGCAACAGATCGATACCATCGCTGACTTGGCTCCGGTTTGTCAGGTGCCTGGGTTTCATAATCCTTCCGTAAACATCACTGGTAACCACAACTACTGGGTACGCAGTATTGATTTTATGGAAAAGACCGACTACCCATGCTTATAAAGATGGCGGATATGATAACTTCCGCTTCATTCTGACTGGTCGCTACGTAGACTGACACAATTACGAAATCCATTTGAGTTTAATTGCAGCCAGGACCTCCAGGTCGAGAGTCAACGAGGGGTACGGCTGAAATCAAAAATATCTAGCTGAGAAACTGTGCTAGATGGTGGCTGGAAGAATCTATCTGAAAAGCAGCATAGCCTTATAATGGGATATTCAAGACACCTATCGTCATCGGTTTTGTTATTTGCTGACGATTTCAAGATATGCAGGGCGATAATGAGGAAAGGTAGTAGTTTTGAGCGTCAAATTGACCCAGAGAAATTATCTGAATGGCCTGAACTTGGAAGCTGCAGATAAATACTCCAAACTGGATTGTGATATATATATATATATATATATATATATATCGGTCACCAAGGTACACAAACACACACACGATGAAAAATAGCGACCTGCTTATTGTCCAGAAAACCAATGACTTAGGAGTCTTCCTTAGCTAAAACTTCAAAAGTACTACACACTTCCGTGTGATAGCCGACAGAGTTTTTAGAATTCTATCGTCAATATGTAAAGCCTTTAGCCATGTCGATGCTAAAACACTTTCGATTTTGTATACAGTATTCGTTCGTCCCAAACTCGAGTACTGCATACAAGTGCCAAAAAGAAGCAGTGATTTGTTGAAAAAGGTTCGGAGAACCGCAACTAAGCTGATTCTCAGGATGGAAAAGCTCCTGTATGATGCTCGACTGGCTAAACCAAACCTATCTCCATTGTCATATAAAATAACGAGAGGAGACTCGACCACAGATTTTAGATTACTTAGTGATAAATTTTCATCTGATATGCCCTCACTTTTCCTTTCCTTCAGAACAAAAAACTTACGAGGACATTTCAAAGACCAATTAATTATCAGCTGACTATCGACTTCCCCATCGAATAATCAACGAATGAAATGCAATAACTGAACACGCGATTGAAGCTCGATCTGTCTATGCTTTCAAAGGACAGTTGGATCAACTGAGAGAACACCACTGCCAGACTACCGGTATTCTCATGATCTCCTGCCTTTTTCAAACTGAAACTGAAGTGTCATATATTGTTATTTCACATCATCAGATAGCGCGCTTTATTTACTGTGTGCGTTACAATGTCATGAAAGGCGGTTCTAGTTCCACAAAGTTATGGCTTCTGAAGAACTCAATAACCTAGTTGGGGCATAATCATTTATTAGTAACTTATTGATTTTTTTACAGAGAAAACCATCTGCAAGACGTTCGAAGCCCGATATGGCAGCTCTAGTAGATCAGCAGAGGCTTTTCGAAAATCCATGGAGTCGAAAGCCTTTATTCCAACTAGAATCACTTGTACCAGTTGTATCTTTGCATGTAAGAGTGTTTCATGATGTTCTTGATACTGGTTTCAGGATGTACGATCTCACCCAAATAGTATTGAGCAGGTTGATATGACTTCAACGTCCCTTGCTGAAAAACGTTTCCTCAAACATCCATCTGTTAGTTTCAAAATACACAAGTTTTGTTTTGTACTCTTATTTTATTTTTTCACCCAGTTTTGAGCAGTGGTACGGGAATTCATCTTCCCGAACTCAGATGATGTAAAAGTGATAGCTGTATAACTTGCTACTGAAATGTTACCTTAAACAGTTTTTCAGTATAGCCCTTCAATATGTAGCATTGAGCTTTGTTTGCTCGGTTATGTGCATCTGTATGCATCGCTTGCGTAGCGAATTCTGTTCACACCGCTGATTTACAGCTACTCAATTAATTTCGAAATCCTTATTGTTTCATTAACTGTGACCAGGAAGTCTTTTCCTTTCAACGTGAATCAACCATATTCACTGGCTTAATGAAATGTTGGTATGATTTAATCGTGTATCTCAGCCCCCTACTACCATTCTCGTGCTCTGGTAAGCACATCTACAGAAGTTTGAGATAACAAATCATGGTTCTTATCATGTGAATTAGTAGTTTCACAACACTAACTAGCTTCTATTTTGTTTGTGACTTTTCCATTTATATTAGCAACGTTTCCTTGGTTGTTTTGTTCTATTTCAACAATATTTTGAACACATCTATAGTCAAATATGAATAATATTATCGTGGTTTTTTAAACACTACATTTATTAGTCTCGTCTTACAGCTTTTCGTTAACATGTGATATATCGCTTTTGCAATAGATTTATTTTATAATGATGGGGATCCGGATATATCCAAAGAAAAATCGCTTAGGACAGCATTCAGGTTGCAACCAGGTTACTTTCTGTCTAATTAATGGGTATAAGCAGTTAATGAAGTGACTGCTTTAATTAGTGCACATTACTTAGTCTTGTGAAACTTGGGAGTTATGTTACCGCTAACCGGTCAGACAACAAATAAATGTTCTATCTGTTTCTTACTTTTTACTTTTATTATTTCACATGCTCTTAGTCTGTTTTCGTCAAATGATTTCATTACAATTTTTATTGAATTCGAATCTTTTTCTATCATTTTTCGGTATAATGTGCTTTTGCTGTGCATGTTTAAAAACTTTAGCGGACCCTGTCTTTCACCAAACATTCCTTCTTAATTGTGTTGAGTTGACTTGCCAACCTAAGTAGTGTCAAGCTCAAGGCTAAGTGGCATATTTGTGATATCTTTTATTTATGGACATTCAATTTTCAAGCATATTTATATTGTCGATTGTTTCCTTTAGCACTCAGTTAAGTCCGTCAAGGATGATGACAAATTGACTGTAAAACATGGCTCCCTATATGTTTACTCATATAATAAATTGGAAGCTAATAAGATTCATGGTCAGGTATAGTTTTCATGTATTTTTATTGCTGCATTATATAAATTACTACTATGAGACAAAGTCCATATGGATTCGCCATATAAGTCTCTTTAAATGCTACCACACGAACAAAATATTTAGGAGAATTAAACCAACACATAAATGATCACTTTACATGTGACAACTAATAAAGTGTTCTAAATATTTAGGATCTAATAACATAGATCTTAAATATGTTGCGTTGAACCTCTAGCTATAACAATGACACTATTATTCTTTTTATCAAGTTGTTTTATTATAGTAACATTTGTAGGAGGACTTATTCCTTCATCTATCATACGCCCATATTCGTTTGGGAAGTTTTTAACTAACCTGGTCATAATATGCATCATTGGACGTCGAAGAAAGTTTTTATGTTGTACGACTAACTAAACTAGGAGATATCATAAAAATACTGTTTTTCTTCTCTTCAGTCACCATTCTAACATCTAGTTCTTTAGTATGCTAGGGTGTTTCATGAAAGGTAGTTTACAAACTCATTAACAATGCAATCGATACCTCAAAATAGAGTTTCGTCACTGTTATGGAAGAAACACATTATACGCACACTTTGGGATTGCTAAGATTAGTGAGTAGAGTGCCGACTCCCAGGAGAGGTAAAACCATACGATTCAACGGACCTATAGCTACTTATAAGATCAAGTTTTATGTATAAGCCCGAAGTCAACTAACATCAAAGCAAGATACAGTTGCTCAGTAAAATAAGTTTGTTTCTTTTATAGTATATAATGTTTATATACAAAATATTTAAGAGAGTGAATATAAGATTCTATATTTGCTACCGGAGGATAGTAATTTTTCAGGTCATTCACCGACTGATTAAATTAATTCCTGACTATTGATCTGAATTCTTACCAGTCATATCAGAGTGATATCGTAGAAACGGAAGAGAATCAGTACACCTTAACCGTTTAAAATTAGTTTTAAACCGAATGGCTTAAGATTCCAATGATTTTTAAGTTGTTTAAAGGTAAACTTAAAAAAGACGATATTCGTTTTCAGTCTTTGTACTCGCTCATACCGATTGAATTTAAAGTAATGTAGGTTATAAGTTCTGCTGGGAGCTATGGAAAATATTCACAGAGATCATGTACAAATCTGACAACCTTGGTTCCATATGAGCTGTGGTATTGAATTGTAAACTTTTTATCTCAAGATTAGTCTTGTAAAGCAATGACTTCAATGCTTAAGAAGAAAAATACTTTTAAAGATATTCTTTTTGATTTTGATTAAAAAAACTGGAATTAGTGATTGTGCGATACAGTTTTGTTGTGACAGTCGACCTTTCGTATTCTTTATCATCTACCACAAAAGGGCGATTGATGAGCATCTTACGTAGCCTACATCTTTACCATTTACATTTATCTAAGGTTTCTAAGTGGCACTGTTTCTCCAAATAACGATTATGATTTAGTTCAGGCACTTAAATTTTTGTGCGTCCAGGTAAATGTTGGTAGCATCGATTTTCAATCTCAGATAAGGTGATCAAGCGAACGGTACTGGGTTCGAGTCTCGAAGTGAACTTCAAATCTGGGATGCAGATCATGAGTCCCAAATAAAACAAAACGTACGTCCTGGATTCCACTGCTAGCCACAACCCATCTTTGCTTATAAAGCTTGTGACTGAAGGAATATTGAGGCAGTCCGCACAGGATTCATATAGGCCAACAAGAGACTGATCAATTGGAAGATACAAACAAACAGTACCAAGTGAATTCATTGCTTAAGCGTTACATTTATCTTAATTTAAAATAAAATTGAGAGGTCGTCTGCTACTGAAGATTAGTAAATGTTAAACAACATCGGGGCATAATGCATTTTTCTTCACTGCTTGTAAACACTAGAAAATAAAGAGCTAATACACAAATGACTCAACACCTCGGTAGTAATTGAAGTTTTAATGTGAGTATTGAAAATATTAGATTCATTCATAATGTGACACTTTACAGTATTTTTAACATTGGTTCCTGATGTTCGGTAACCCGTTCGAGGGAAGTAAACTGCAGAAGCAATGGATTAGCGATTTTGAGAAATCGTAGGTTAAACTTTCAGGTAACTTTCATGTTTTTACTCTTTGGTCAGAATACTGACCTAGAAGTTTTAACCGCCAATTAATTGCCTATAAGTTTGGGAAATGTAGTGTTAGTAAATAATTGATATTTTAAAGAGTTCTGTATGAATTTTGGAATGATGATCCTTAATCACTCGGGAAGTTGATATTAGTCTGATTATAAGTTGTAAGGGTTAATTTTTTAACTGGTTTAATACGTTCTCTTATTTTTTTTAAATAAATGATATCTCTCTTTTTGGTAGTCATAGAAATAAGCTTGATAAATACTGCGTCTGAAAAGATAGAATATTTAATAAGTCCCATCTATAGCTGAGTTGTATTGACATAAAACCAGAGGGAGAGTTTCTGTTCTCATATCTGGCTTAAAATGTTTCTATTCACAGTTTATCTGATTCTGAAACAAGTTCAGATATACAGACCTTCCACACCAGTCAATATAAAACTGGTATTTAACACCATTAAGATCTTCGTTTTTCAGCTCACAATAATAGAGTAGACAGTTCATTTCGTTTGTTCCTTTCTCCATACTCATATTAGCTTTTATAGATAATATTTTGTGAAATGATAAGAATCAGGAACACAATTTACACTTTTCACCTTTTATTAAAAGCTTAACTTAAGATGTCGATAAATATCTCATGAATCTTAATGATGAAAGCATAGTCTATCCAAGTAGAAGACATGTGTGGACTGCAGGTTTTTGATCATAGTTATCTTCGAAGCTGGCGTATCACTTAACAACCAAGTAAGAAGTCATGAGGTTAAGGCTAGGATATCATCTTTTGGTAAAACTGATTTTTTTGCCAACTAGATGTCTGGGACGTACGATACGTGAGCCCAACTGTGACGTCGACGTGCGATGTTAGAAAAAAGGTCGAGGTGGCCAAAAGAAGATATTATAGCCTCTGAAGTCATTGACCGTTGTTCTGACCCACGTTGGTTCCGCCAAATAATCACGACCATTAGTTAAGAAGTGGGTGACGCTGTCCAAAGTTTCTCTTAATGGCACAGACGCATCAACCCTTTACTTTCCTATCGATAACGAATGCTGGTATTTTCCCACACCTTTACACTTCCCTCAGTTCATGTTCTCAATATTTAGTTCCTAGTTTTGAGTTATACCACACCAATTTACATCCAATGTTATTAGTCTTATTAATTTCATCCCGTTGAGCTATTACAGTGTGACAACTTGGTAAACGCTCATTTGCCCCAGGGTCTATGCCAATTATGGCTAACTGACTAATAGAATGATTCTTCATGTCTGACCTACATGAAAGTCCTCGACTACAGTAAAGAGTAAATATTCTTAATTATGGAGTTTTACGTCGCTACTAGAATAAACCTGAATACAAAAACAGTATTCAATTGGAATTTTGCGATATGTACTGGGGAGATATTCTAATGTCTATTTAGTACCGAGTATACAACCTAGCAGTACGTTCTCTCTTGTAATACAACTTTAAGTATGTTAGTGGAATAAGATTTTTTTGGTGCCTGATTATTGCTAGTTTTTAATTATTCCTTTTACTGAAACCGTTATCGGTGACTTAGTCAAGTAGTGTCGCTAAGTGGATCATGTAAAAATG